GGACTCAACGAATGCAACATAACTTCCACAAACTGATGAACATCATTGACCCCTGGTCCACACCACCTCGAGGAGCAAATATCCTCCATCTAAGACGTACACACACCCTTGGAGATTTGTCTGTTCAGTTGGTGTAAATGCTTTGTACAAGGCAGACTTGGTTCCTTTTCTCATTCCATAGTCATCAAAAAGAGGCAATGGATTCGGGAACAGTTCATATTTTGAGAACTTCTTCGAGTTCTTCGTCAGATTGTTTAGCAATTGTGATTCTTTGAAAAATAGTCGTAGGATTATTCGGAATGGTTTCATTACTTATTTTGAATTCCATTGGGAATGCACCAGTTCCTTTGCGAGTTGGAAGCTGAAACCATTTGAAACATGATTTTTTGTGCTTTTTTGTATTTTATGATCACCAGCACCAGAAGCAGTTTTGAATCTAATATCCTACAAGTGCATGAAAACCTGTCAGACCAACTGTGGGTCCCAAAAATTGTGAAAATAGCTGCAATAACATGGCCAGCCATTGAAGAAGAAGCAGAGGAGGATTCGGAGTTGTCTGATCCTCTGGAAGGTAACTACATGAATAATTCTTTCGAACCTTCATTTTGCCTCTCACAATTCATTTGTGTTATCGACCAATAATCAATAACGATAAATAAGTCGAGTATACGTATAAAAATGTCGAAGAAATCCTCAATAGGTATTGCTTTTATATCTAATTGATATATTGTTGAAATTATTGAATTAAGTCAATTATTATTTGTAACAGGCGTAGAAGAACTTGAGAGCTGCCCTGGAGGAGCCACGGAGTCTGTGTCTAGGAGGAGAAATTCATTTGACAGTGATATGTTTATCTATTTGGAATAAAAACTATGAATTAGTTGAATTTTTTATTTTTTTCCAAAAATCACTGATTCCACTAAAATTTCAACACTCTTTTGCATGGAAACCAAATGACATACCAAAAAGTATCATGAGACATGAATTGTAGATAATTTTTCCCTCTTGATTTTACTACTCGTTAATTTTTTTGTGTGAACGGCTTCCTTTGCGAGTTGAAAGCTGAAAACCATTAAAAAACATATTTTTGTGTGCTCTTTTGGTATTTTCTGATATTTGCCGATGGAATTTTTGGTGGACAACTCAAGATTCGTGTTGAGCACATCAAAGAGCATACTATAAACCACTGAAATTAATTACACCAGAACTTTCCACTTCAAGCTGTTTTTATGCACCATTTGATTGAACTATTTACATCATTGTTTATATAATACAATTTTTACATAATATTTTGATGTTGTACATTTTCTTATTGAAATTATTACATAGTTTATTGATAATATGACGATGGACATTTTACATTTAAATCACATACATAGTTATCATATCCTGCATCCTAATCCTATATCCCTAGCTCTTTCCCCTCTTATGGATTGTGTCTAGCTTCATTTAATGTCTACTGTTTACCTCTACTTGAAAGTGTAAAAATTTTGAAATTTTTTCGGATTTCTAACAATTCTGCCTGACTTTGTAGTTCTAGTTACTGTATTATTGAAACATTCTGATATGTTTTCTTCCTCTGTACTGCTATCAGTGCTAAGAGTGGAATTATTTTGTGAATTTGAATCTGTGTGATTTTCTGATGCATAATCTGTATTATGCTCTGAATTATCATACTTTATACTTTGAAAACTGCTGTCAGCATTATCAGAATCTTCCACATTCATATTTTGATTATCATTTAGATTCTGATGATCATTCTCACTTTCTACATTCAAGTATACATAATTTTTAGAACTATTACAATCATACTCTCTTACTTCTAAATTCTTGCAAGATGGTTTAATAATATCTCGTTTGTATGGTGTTATAAATCTTCTATTTCTTATTATTATTGAACCATTTTCCAGTTTTATTTCATAAGATCTTATCCCTACTTTACTTAATACTATCCCTTTTTTCCAAGGACTTTTCAATGTCTCTTGAATTAGTACATTTGAGTCAATTTCTATGTCAGGCAAAGTTTTTACACCTCTTTTGTCAAAATAACCTTTTTGTTTAGATTTTGATTTTTCAATCAGTTCGTCGTGTTTCACTTTATTGAAAAGTGTTGGTTCATAATTAGATTGACTTTTTGGTAACAAATCTCTCAAGTTTCTATTACTTAAAATATTAGCTGGCGAATTATGTCCATAAGTCAAAGGTGTGTTACGTAATGCTAGTAATGCTAAATAAGGATCGGAGTTGCTAGCTTTGCATTTTTTTAAAGTTGCTTTTATTGTTTGAATAGTTCTTTCTACTTCCCCGTTGGACTGAGGATATCTTGGAGATGACGTTTTGTGTTCAAATTCCCATTTCTTAGTAAATTTTTTGAATAGTAAGCTACTATATTCTGGTCCATTATCTGTTATTAGAATTCTAGGAATTCCTTGTCTAGCAAATATTGATTTAAGCTTTAAAATTACATTTTCGCTTGTCAGATCCTTATTCAGGTTTGAAATTTCAAAAAACTTCGAATAATAATCTACTACTATTAGAAATGATTGGCCATCGAAATGAAATATATCAGAAGCAACCTTGAACCAAGGCAGCTTTACAACGTCATGAGGAATCATAGGTTCCGCACAATTGGTTTTTCTAAACTGTTGACAGTTTTCACAAGTCAGTATCATGTCCTGAATTTGCTTGTCAAGTCTTCTATAGTTGGAATTTGAAAGTAGTGTCTTTTAATAGCCTGGTTCAGAAATTTGGGATCTAAACAAATTCTAATTGATTTTTTATCAGGTTTCATGACCAAAACAACTGGATTTACCCAATCCGCACTGTTATCATCTTTAACAATTATTTTTTCTTTCTGAAGTTCATTCAAACTTTCTTTGAATTTATCTTTAACTGCAAATGGTACTTTTCTAGCATAGTTTATTATAGGTTTTGCATTTTCTTTTAATTCAATATGGTATGGTTTTTCCAGACACCCTATTCCTTTGAATAGATGTTCATATTTATTTATTAAATACTGGATATTTTCAACAGAGAAGTTTTCTACTTCTTGAACATTATCTATTCTTCGAATCATACCTAGTTTAACACAAGCTTGAAGGCCTAAAATGCAACAACTATTCATATCAACAATGTGAAATAAGAATTTTCCAGTATAATTATTATATCTGCATTCTAAATTGCATTCTCCAATTATTGGCAAAAGATCTCCTGTATATGACCTCAGCTTCATGGTACTTTGATTTAAATTGTTGAAATCAAGTTTTATTTTTTGAAATACACTTACAGGCATGACATTGGCTATGGCTCCACTATCCAGCTTCATTTCTACCTTCTGACCATTTATTTCTACTGCAGCAACCCATGACTCCATCTCAACGTTGCAAACTGTCCCCGTTTCAATGCTACCTATAAAGAGAAAATCATTAGTTTCATTTAAACTATTTTCTATGGAGTTTACAAAAGGTTGCATGTCATCATTACTATCTTCATATTCATTCTCTAGAGTATTAATATTTTTAAAAGTTACTTTATTTTTATTATAATTTGAATTGTTACTGCCATTTTTGAATTTACACATTCCAGAAAAGTGATTCATGTTTCCACATTTGGAACATTGTCGTCCATGGGCTGGGCATTTTCCATAACCATGACAGTTTCCACACTTCCGGCAGCTTCTTTCATTGGTCTTGCTGTAACTTGTAGTATATTTGCTTGGATAGTTGCTTCTGGATGCCTCATATTTTCTTGGAATTCCCCTTTTATCCTTATACTTGGGTCTGAAGTTCCTCGTTATCTCCTCTACTTGTATATTCTCTCTATTATTGGTGGTAATTTCTCGATTTCGTTCCCTTGTTTTCTCCATATTGATGCATAGCCTAATTGCTTCCTCTAGAGGCTGATTATCTTCTTGAAGTAGCTTCTCCCTAAGTGTTTCTGACTTAAGTCCACATATAAGAATGTCCCTTGTTAAGGAGTCTCGTAAGAGTCCCAGTTCACAAGAATTAGCTAAATTTTTCAATTCTGTTACATATTGTTCAATGGATTCTCCTTCTTGCTGTTTACATGTTAGAAATTTATGTCTTTGGTAAGTTAAATTATTTCTGGGACTGAAGTGACTCTCGAACTTCGCAAGTAATGGATTTATTTTATCCTTTTCATCTGGCAGCATAGTGAAAGTATTGAATATACGCATACCTTCGTCGCCGATTAACGTTAATAGCTGAGCACATTGGGTAATTTCTTCTTTTTTCGAGATTTCTGTCGCTAGCAGGTACGTTTGAAATCGCTGTTTCCAAAATTTCCAGTTTTCTGCTACATTACCGTTCATTTTCATGGGTGGGACGCCTCTAAAATCCATTTTGATATCTTAGTTTCTCGTTTTCCTTTCGATTGGGTCTTCTATTTGCTTGGGAGTACAAATTCGCCAAAATATTTTAAGATGGCGGAATTTTTTGTCTAGTTTCTAACCTGACTGCGCCATGTGGTGTGGACTTGGGAGAGTGTTGGAGACGGGACGTCTGAATTCAAAGACTGCTGGATGATAACTGGTTTATTAATCATCTTTATCACAGATCACGGAAGTCAGAGCACCAGGCACAGAACAATACATATCGGTGCTAGTGCATGGTTAGTGTAACCTAGTGTAGGTGTACATAATATGTCACAATTATTTGAATAAATTTGTTGAAATTAAAAGCCAAGGCGCTCTGATTTTATTCTGTAATGCTCCAAATCATTGTAGATACCAATAATCATGAATAAAAATATGTTTCGAAAAAAAAATATATCCCCTCTCCCCAACGTAAACTTCTGGGTACGCCAGTGGTAAAATTTCGTCTATTCTAGAAGATATCTTTCACAAATAATCATCGATTCTATCACCCTCATCCTTTTGGACGGCTTCTGCCATCTAGTGAATCTGAACGGAACTGAATTTCTGAATCGATTTTGCATAGGAGAACGCTGCGGAACATGAATGCTATAGTCGGAATACTCACGTAACAGGGATTTCCCTCCAACTGCAAGGATTTCAAACTTGGAAGTTCTTTGATTTTATTGAGTATGGCCAACAGATCATAGATGTCGTTGTCCGAGAGGTCCAGGCTTCTCAGGTGGAGGAAGTTGCCGCTTTTAGCCAAAAGATGGAGGGAGCTGTCTATAAAATCAGAGTGATCATAATTATGATAAGCCTCGATATTTTTCATCAGGTTATTTACAGCGAGTATCTAACTTAGAAAATGAAAATTGTTTGGCTCTTGCCAATTTATTTATATGCATATAAATTATTACTCTGTTCTTTGTGTCAAGAACACTGCATGAGTTCGTGCATAGGCACCGGACCGTATGAAAATTACTTGGATACAAGATGAAAATGTGCTGCAAAAAGAAATTTCGAATTTTTCAGAGTCAAATGTGAAAGTCATACCTATTACTGATGTATAACTCGCGGACTACAAACATATGAAAGATATTCTAAAATTCGTTAGGTATATCAAGAATTTTGTCAATATACAAATAATTGTTCGAAATGTTGTATTTCGTGCAGAATAATTCATTCAAATGTTTCGTAGCGTACCTATAGGTAAGTAAACAATTTTTTTCTACAACCGTCACAAAAGTCGTTCATTTTGATACCAAAATTAGCTCTTGAATTGACGTTTCTATCAGTGACACGAACATTAGTATACTGCTAGGCAACATTTTCAGTTGAACTTCAGCTCCTAGGAACTTAGAAGGATGTAGTAGGTTAATTATCAAGAATAATAGTAGATTGTTTTACTCAAAAGTGACACAAACAAAGTCACATTTAATCCGAATGAAACATGCTATTTTTTCTGCAAATGAAACAATTTCTAAACTCGCATAAATATGTGAAGTAACCACCACTGCCGTGCCATATGTATGCAATGCAACAAATAATCCGTGTGGTGAGAATATTCTACCTGCATTGACAGCAGGTTTATTAAATTTTCAAGAATGTTCGAATTGTAGTTTAGTATAGGAACAAGAAGTGGAAAATGTTAGGTTAGTGAGCATATCAACATTATTAATACGATTATTTATCTCTCTCCATTCTCCACTGTGTTTGGCTTGGTGATCAAACGAAGTTAAACAATGTCGTTGTTCGAGACAAAAAACTATTGCTTGCCGTGATTATTCAGAAACTAGTTATCCATCCCAAAAATAACGAATGAAATACAAATCCAGCAAGTATTTGAATCTTGAAGGCTTCCCTGATCAAAACAAAAATACTTAACTGAGATGTTTATAATTCCAATACTTAACTAGCGAAGCCGAGCGGAAGCAAAATTTGCGAGTCGAACAAATTCACTTTTGATCCGAATGAAACATGCTATTTTTTCTGCAACCGAAACAATTAACTCAGATAAATATGTGAATTTACCACCAATGCCGTGCCATATGTATGCAATGCAACAAATATTGACGAATAATCCGTGTAGTGAGAACATTCTACCTGCATCAACAGCAGGTTCATTCAATTTTCAAGGATGTTCGAATTGTAGTTTCAATATAAATACAATCACAGAGTGACATATTTGTGTATGGACCAGGTCGTTACCACCGATACAACGAGGCCAGCAGACTCTGACGTAAACAGCTCGTGACGTCACTAAGAGAGGTCAGTGTTTTATTTTATCGCTTGTCGACTCACGCGTCAGTTCGTGTTAATTCATCGGTGATTCACGTATGTTTTTGAAACGGTCCCGAATTCTTTTGTTGTTTATTCATCAAAATAGTTGGTGGAAAAATTACTGTTTTGTGAAATATTTTGTGTTGTGATCGGCAAAATAACAATGCCTTTCGAGTGTTGTGTTCTATTTTGTCGAGGGAATTATGTGGGTGGTTCAAAAGTTCATGCTTTTAGTTTCCCGTTGGACGAGGAGCTATCGAAAATGTGGGTATATGCAATTCACCGCGAGGATTTTACTCCATCTAAGTTCAGTAGTAAACAGAGCTTAATTTATAATGATGAATTAATAATAGAAGACAATTACTCTCTCATAAAAAGTATAAGTAGAGAAAAAATAGAAAAGCTTTGATTGTGCAGTAAGTGTTGTATTCGTATATTTTAGTCAACAAAATCATCTCTGAATTCGAGGAAATGTTCTTGAATGTTCATTATAAACGGGCATTTTTAATTCTCATTCTCAAATTTCTTTCTGAAAACGGTATCATTTGCCTCGTGGAAATGAATGCAGAATTCATTCCAATGATCAAATTGCAACTATCATATTAACATGAACTACAAACACTCTACTTAAAAAGGTAAAACTGCATTCATCATGAAGATATTTGACTAAAAAGTTCCAAATTTCACCTTCTTTTTCACCTGTCTTCTGGATGGCATTTAGAACAAATTTTCATCATAATGGACAATTTTTATATACTCCAACTATAAATATGATTTTCTTGAGATTAATCCATATTTAGTGAAAAGAAGAAAGAATATCATTCAAAATAATGACGTGTGTAATGTAATTCGAAAGCAATCTATTGACATTTGACATCTCGTATTTTGATTGACTATTGATTAAATGGTCGTCATCTGGAATGCTTGTTCACTAAATATGAAAAACTCGCCATAAAAATCATATTTCCTGTTGAATTTTCCATATAAAAATGTGCCATCGAAGTACATCATGAGTATATAAAGTGTCCAATGACAAAATAAGAGCAAGTAGCTTCAAATGCCCCCAACACAAGGAGAGAAAGAAGGCGAAATTTCGAACTTTTTCTTGAAATATCTCAATAAATAGTGGTTTGTTCACATTTTCATTATAAAATTCGGTTTATCAGACAAAAATACGTGAGTACCGAAAAAAATTTTCAAAAAAAAAACCATCGCATGATAAATGCAGTTTTACCCTCAAAAATTACGGTTTCAAGTGTAACGATCCACTTGGGTGAAAAATCCAACAACAGAAAATTGAAAACACTCACTGGTTATTTTTTCAGGTAATAGGAATTCTCCAAGATAAATATAGGTTATTGTAACAAACGGCATGTCAATCAGAATAAAATACATTTTCCACAATTTTCTTTCGATCAATCTCACGATAAGTTCATGTTCTGCGGGCCCTGTATAAGTAGGTGTGAAGTTTACCTTCACCACAATTTTTGCCAATATATTTAATTCGAATGGGTTGCTGTAGGTGGATATTTGTGTTTTATCCTGGTTTTTGCTTTGAAACTTCGTTTTTCCATAATACTGGCTTCCTTTTTTAACCGGAAGCCCTTCAAAAAACAGCAAAATCTGCTCAATGATGATCTAAAACTAAAATCGAAATACGCGGTCGCCTTATTGCGCTATATGAGCGCTAGTCGTTTCGAGCCGCTGGTTAGGCCTCACTAAGTGACGTCACCCACGGAGCATGCAGGCCTTGTTGTATCGGTGGTAACGACCAGGTGCTCTAATGGCAAATACCGTGCTAGTGCCAGCTATAGGAACAAGACGTGGAAAATGTTAGGTTAGTGAGCATATCAACAATAATAATAGCGATTATTTACACTCCTCTCCATCAAAATACAATGTTTTTCGCTCAATAATCGAATGAAGGTAAACAATATCGTTGTTTGAGGGAAGAAACCATTGCTTGTCGTGATTATTCAAAAACAAGTTATCCATCCCGAGAATAACGAATGAAATACAGATCCAGCAAGTATTTGAATCTTAAAGGCTTCCCTGATCAAAACAAAAATACTTAACAGAGATGTTTATAATTCCAATACTCAACTATAATAAGATGTATTTATATCTCCAGCATGGGTATGAAATGCCAAATCTGCCGAAATCGGAAAATTAATCAACAGCTAACATTTCTCCATGATGCATTATGTCGTGTTGAAGTGAACTCGATATGAGTGACAGAAAGAACCTACTGAAATATCGAATCATGATATGCCAGTGAGGTATTGAAATGAAAAACAATGACACTGCTGTGTATACTGATGAAATTCGAATTTCATGTTTCCAGTTTGTAAGTGAATCTGGGCGTGCCAGGTGGTGCAAAACCATCTGTGGAAAGTTTGATACAGGTGAAACCAAGAGACCTCTTTCAGTAAGGACGAAGTAACATGAGTGAAGAAGAGACACATCGACAAATCGAAACTACCTGAACATATTATCCTTACTGAAGATGGACAACATATGGCAGAGTGGAATAATATTGAAATCATTGGAATAGAAGCTGGCAACCAGAAGAGAAAAATCAAGCGATCTGCTGGCATTCTTCTGATCGTAGACAATAGCATAGCTTCCAGTTCAGTTGATATAGATAGAACATGGTATTCACTACTGAAATTTGGAAATGGGAATGGTCAGTTCAAGATTATTATCAATTGTCACTGAGTACTAGGAAGTGTCAAGACGCATACGAATTTGCTATATAAATATCAATTTGTTATGTTGGAAACGGAAGCAGATTCGTTCCCGAAACGTCTAAAGCTTAGTGGAAATTTGAAATTTCTTCTATATACCTTCATTTCTCTTCTCCAAACCTTTTTCAATACAAATTGTCACTGACAAGCTAGTAAATTCTTCTTTTAGGTTCTCTGATAGTACAATTCTTTATCTACAACTATGGAGTCATTCATATACATTGCTAACTCGATTCTCAACATTTAATGACAGACATTATTGTGATAAATCGAGTAATAAGAGTAATAATGACAGTAGGATGGCGCAATAATCTGACATCCCATCGTCTTGTCAAATTCAACTTTGTGAAATACACGCAAATTGAAAAGACTCCCCTCACATGGTTCTCATAGTTTCAATCACTTCAATTCTACAAATTCAATACACGGAGAAATGAGAATTCACTGTTTTTCATTCTCAACAGTGACTATTCCATCATGAGTAACTATAACCATGAAATAGGACTTGACACTTGGTAGTTGCAGATTGGCTCACACTTAGGTGCGGGCTATTCGAATAGATTAGTACAGACCTATCAGAACCATAGAACTTCATTGTTGATAATCAGCGTCTAGTGACAGGGTACTACAATTAATAATCGCGGTAGGGGAACGCTACAGTTGAAGCAAGTTAATGAATAATCTGCAATAGTATGATTCATATTCCACAACTGAAATGTGAAATGGCATATAATACCTGGTAAGATTGACTGATAT